TTGACATTTAAATCATTTAACTTTTGAATGATCACTTGAGGCTGTACAGTGTTAAAAGCAAAGCTGAAATCAGTGAAAAGAACTTTGGCACACTTGTGGATACATTGTCTGTGGTAAAAAGTTGCTGTTTTGATATGCTTTTCAGATAGTCCCACAGACTTTAGCTTTGTTCAATGTAGGGGCAATGTTTCTTTCAAGGAGGTGATTTACCACTTCTCTTCTGTCTTTATTTTTAAAGACCAAATCTTTCTGTTGACGCTTGTTATGTCATCTTGGTAATGTGGGGTTTATAGTTTGTAAAATGTACTAGCACTTTTTTCCCACCCCATTGTCCACATAAAAATGTACAGTGTGTTTTATAGTTGTAGTGTCCAGTTCTAAGCTGTGGAAGATGTTCCAGTCTGTGCTCAGAAAGCTGCCTCTTAAGTGTTTCTGTGCTGTCCTCAGTCCATTTGAGTACAGTTTTTTGTTGAGCTTTGCTGGATTTCAAAGTAGATTTACATGTTGGCATGAGGTTCACAGTTCTATGGTCAAAGTTGCCGACTGGGGGGCAGAATTTTAGATCTCCATTATGTTATCTAGAGTGTTGTTATTTATGGTTTAGTCCTGGTTCAGCTCTGGCTAGTTTTACAGGTGCTGGAATGAACTTTGGTTGCTAAGCGATGTGTCAAACTTGTGCTGATTGGCTGCAGCCAGAGACGCTCTGCCCGGCAACATCGGCGCGTGAGTTTGGTGAGAGTTTTGGTGAGATGTTAAAACAGCAGATTCATTAAAGAGGGTATTACACTTCTACAGGGAATTAACTGACACATAACATATTCAGTTCCTTTTATTGTTTTAAAAATGCTATATACGCCCAACACAACAAGCCTCTGAGTCCCCTCTCCTTTTGCTCCCTATGTCACTCCCCCTTCAGAGCGCTATCACAACACAATCATTGTGCAACCCGCTTATGAAACTACTGCACATCGCATCAGTGAACGAGTAGAGTTCAGGATGTGGGGTCGGTTCTTGCTGTTTCATGGCCCTAAACAAGATTTTGGTAGTGGCGCCCTAATGGATTAAACTATCTATTTAAAAAAGACAATAAATCTTATGTGCCTCATTTTAGTCCATGATGAGGGAACAATGTTATAACATGAGAGAAAGCTAAAGAACATTTTTGCAGGATACTCCCCTTTTATGTTTTTACCAGTATAAACTGTTTCTGCCTGTGAGGTGGAGGTGACCCATTTTACTGCAGTGTCTGTGACCCCAGAGCCATTACTGTCCCTGTAGGAAACTAGCACTATGTCCTGCATCCTTGAACCTGCATTTGAGGAGGAAACCTACAGACACAGAGAGAACATACAACACACAGAAAGGCCTGCGAGTCAAACCTGGGATGTTCTTGCTGTGATGAAGGGGGGCTAGTCTGCTAAAGGCTGTTATAATTACTACAAGGCAGGCAGAGAGATACTTTATTGATCCTAAGGGAAATTCAAGTTTTGCTGCAGTAAAATGTTGCAGCTGCTGTTGCTGCAACATTTACACTGCACATCTCTGTGGCTTTTGAGTCTCAGTCAAAGGTCTCAGTGCGGTTTGACAGGAGGACTGGTCACGGAGGGTCTGCAGATCCTGTGGAAGAGTCAAAAATGTCCTGCAGCATCACAGCAGCCTCCAGGGGGCGCCAGCTGAACACAACAGGAAAAACGTCATTCTTACCCCACTCTGGCGTTTCCTTGGTGATGAAATGGTCCATTCCCCCAAAGTGTTTCTTCTGGAAGGTCTTCTGCCACATTTGCTGCCACATATGATGTAAAAATCCTGTAGCATCTCAAATGTCTATAGCAACTCCTTAGCTAGTCCCTTGTACACTATTACTCTTACTATTACTCTTACTCTTACTCTTACTCTTACTATTACTATTACTATTACTATTACTATTACTGCAACTCCTATTACTATGATTACTCTACAGCCACTACAGTTACTGTGTTCTTGGGCAAGACACTCCGCTTTCTTTGCTTAAGGGTTCACATAAGTTCTTCTCTCAAACAGAAAACACTCTGTTCCACCTTGTGATGTCATGCTGTAATCATGGAAGTGCTTCATCATGTTTTTACTCACACCTTCACTGGAATTATGTGGATCATCTCAGTCTTGGAATTGCCAAACTCTATAGAACTAAAGGTAAAATGAGCTGTTCACTTGAAAACAACCACTTCATGACATCACAAAGTGGAACAGAGCATATTGGGCTTTGGAGATGTAGACAGACTAATAATAAAAGTCACAAGAGTCAGGTTTGTGTAGTATAGGAGCTTTAAGTGTAATTGTGGTGTGTGTAGCCTGGTCCATACAATGCTCTGTTTTATTATTATTATTAAACAGTTTGCTTTTAACACAAACACAGAAGTGTTTTTGAAGGGGCATGGTGAAGCTTTCCTGGGTGGAGTGTTCGCTGCATGTCTGTTTCATGTAGACTGTACTTCACTCCAACCACCAATAAAAGTGAAGTGCTCCTCACTGGATCTAAATGCTCCAGAATAATGATCAAGCCTAACACTTACAGGACTGACAAAGCCCCTGTTACTATTCATACACACTTCATTCATACACACACGCGTGCGCGTGGGCACACACACACCCAATCACACACTTTAATCACATACACACTCACAATCACACTCACACACAATCACACACACACAATCACACACACAATCACACAGTCTAATCACATACACACTCAGAATCACACTCACACACAATCACACACACACAATCACACACACAATCACACAGTCTAATCACATACACACTCAGAATCACACACACACACTCACAATCACACACACATGCACAATCACACAGACACACACTCACAATCACCCACACTCACAATCACACACGCTCACACAATCACACACACATGCACAATCACACACACACACTTACAATCACACACACACTTACAATCACACACACACAATCACTCACAATCGCACAGACACTTACAATCACACACACACAATCACTCACAATCACACAGACACTTACAATCACACACACACAATCACTCACAATCACACAGACACTTACAATCACACACTCACACACTCACACACACAGACACACACACACACTACTTTTAATAGTAGCCAATGCGAGTGAAGAGTTTAAGGACCAGGACAGAATGACAGACACATGGTGGAAGCAGGAAGATCCTCTGACCTTCAGGTTTGGGGGCCTCTGCTCTAACCACTGAGGCCCAAAGGTTTAACTTTGTACTATGGTCAGACCCTGAGATTAAACAAGGGGCCAAGGTAACATAAAGAAGACAAAAACACACAGAGGCAACAGCTGGTCCAAGGCAGCAGCAAATCAAACAGCAGGTAGGAACAATTGTGTAATTAAGGATGTAACGATATCCAAACCTCTCGGTACGATATTATCACGATATGCTTCTCACAGTACGATATTTACTGAGATATTTTGAAGAGGCTAATATAATTGCAGAGCCTTTTTTGCTTTTAAAATACCTTGACAAGATTTTGGTGAGAGTTATTTCCGTCATAATCCCAAGAATTCAAGTAAAAAACATATTTCTTCATGTTGTCTGCGCTGAAATGAATCATGGGATATGTAGTTTCTGATGTTCACAAGCTGTTGCTACTGTAAAACCTGGATTTAAGCAAAGGAACTTGTGATTCGATATATTGTGACAGTCCACGATATTACTGTGAGACTTTTGACAATATATCACAATATTTCAGTTATTGTTATGTCCCTAGTAATTATATAATTATTATATGAGCCAGTTACACAAGGTGAAGGAAGTGAAGTGAAGGAAGAACACCTTTAACATGGGCCAAAATAGAACACCGTATTGTTAAAGCCGTTATAATGCATTTAAACAAATGAAACAAAACAAATTAAATCAAATTTCTCCAGCGAGTATTCCTGGGTCAAGAGGTCACGTGAGGACACCACTGCGGAAGTTCCCCGCGTGTCCTGTGGGAGGCGCCATCAGATCAAGTTTAAGCTGTGGCTTAAGGCTCAACGTCCTGATTTAATTTTTGTAAATGTCTCAGAATTCTGTCTCATTCTCTGTTTTTTCATCAGAAGTCTCCAAAAGTCAAATCCACTTATATTTTCCCTATAATTTCTATCAGTGAATTATCAGTCATTCCATTGTCCAACCACAGCGCAACATCTGGGAGGGCATCTGACACACCACAACAACTGCAGATTATCTAGAGACATTGTATCTGCTTCCATCTCAGTCTGACACTACATGAATACAGGGGGATGGGAGGGCATCTGACACACAGAGATACAGGAAGATGGGAGGGCATCTGACACACACATGTTGCACGTTGCGGTCTGAGAAACTCCCTCCATAAAAGCCACGTGTCTGCGCCGTGACCTGAGCTGACCCCACCCGAGGGGCTTATTGCGCGCTTCCGAGGCTCGTGCGCGGCGGTGAGCATCGCGCGTCCACGTGGGTTCATGTCCTGACTCGTGAACGCGCCTCCGTGCACGGCCCTGTATTTGCCAACATTTCTGTGAGCGCGCAGTTTTTAAGAAAAGCACATTTCGCTAAAGAATTTCCAAGCTCTGGGATCAAAAATCAAAAATGGACACTGACATTTTGTTTGTAAGTTTGGAATTTTCTAGCGCGTCCTCTGCCGTTATTTAAATCGGCTTCTGTCTGTCAAATGAGCTCTATTTATCCAACTTTTACTACTCTCTTTGCACTCTGAAATGCGGTACCCGCTCATCGGGCTCTCCTCCTCAGCCCGACCTGGAGTCCTCTCTTCCCGGTCTCTCCTTTTCTCCTCCCCGCTCCCCCGCTCTCTCCCGGGCGTCTCCTCCTCTCCCCCTGCTCTCTCCCGGATCTCTCGCCCCCTCTCCTCCTCTCTCACCGGTGCTCCCCCTTCACCTGCGGCCCGTGGAACATTTGGGATTCTATGCAAATGTCCGGTGACGTAAAAGATCATGTGGTATTCGTGTCGGTCCCCCCCGTGAGCGCTCTCCGCTCCTTTCGCTCCGTCTGTGGGTTCGCTATGCTGCGGTCTTCCCTGCACCCTGCACGGCACCGGAGCACCCGCGGGACCCAGCCCGACTGCAGCCCGCCTCTGCACAGGTAGGAGCCCGCAAAGACTTGCCCTTTCCCCGCTCCGTGTTCCCCGCGGTGTAACGGAGTTGAGACGCGGCCGGTGCGCAGCTGTCTGGCCCGGGACTGCGTGCATGTGCGCCCGGTTGTGTGCTTGTCTCCGCGGCTGGTTGTGTGGGGCAGTACGGCGGGATGTGCCGCTGCCCCTGCCCACCCCCCTGCATCACTGTCGGGGCAGAGTGAGTGGGGATCACCGCTGCCCTGGAGCGCCTCCTCCGCAGCCCCAGAAACCGCTAAAGCTCACATTTGTCCCCGCGCTCGGACACTTGTGGGTTAGATTCCACGGAAATAATTGTCTTAAGTTTTTGACAGGTTTTTATCATAGTGTTTGAACTTTTCCCGGAGCTAGCCGTTAGCCTTTAGCCGCTAATGACGGCTGTAGCGTTAGCCTGTGCCCGCTCTCGGCGCTCTCGTGTCGGCGTTTGTTTTGGTGGGCTCCGCTGTCATGTCCCCTCCTCCGCGGCTCTGGACCGACCGCAGCCCGACCTCAGCGGTGTCTGTGGGCGCTGTTCGCCACACACAGGGCCAGTGGTGAGCGGGTAGTTGCGGAGGGTCTGTGCCCGCTGGAGGTGAGGTTCACACGGGGCTGAGTGCCGCAGACAGTCGGTCTCGCTTTGGCGCTGGGTCATCTGAGGTGAGCCTGGAGCCTCCTCAGACAAACAGCGCGTTTGCTCCGCTTTCCCCGCGTCCGCCGAGACACACACACACCGGCCGCATGTTTCACGCCTCATTCTGGGTTTAAGGCTTTATTTTAGTTGTCTTTTTTTATCTGTAAGTCGCTTCTTGTTCCAGACACGCTCTGCTCCGTACGGCACATGGGCACACCGCTGTCTCGAAATGCGCGTGTTTGCAAACAAAACGAGCACATTACACAAATCTCCTCTTTCTATTCATTTAAGAGAAATCGAACCCCCGCGGCACCTTACGCCCTTCGGTCTGGGTTACTCTCTCACGCTCGCCTCATACCCGCGGAACTGGGTCGTGCGTTCCGGGGAGATATTGATTAGTCTCCGTGCCGTTAACGTGTACTCCCGGTACTGTACGTACTGTAACCGACTGTAACCGACTGTACCCGACTGTACCCGACTGTACCCGACAGGACCCGACTGGACCTGACTGGACCCGACAGGACCCGGGGTTTGTGGAGACGGAGGCGCAGTCTCTCAAACGCGCAGTTTTTTGGCGAGACGCTGCAGGTGAATGTTAAAATTTAGAGACTTCAATTTGAATATTTAAATTAGTTACATACTATTGCACCAGAATGTTTTTATATCTTATTTCAAATATGAAATTGCACTCCTCAGGCCTGCCCCGCTTACACGCACTCAGGAGACCGTCTCAACATTTGCTTCTTGTGCGGACATGTTATTAGATGCAGATGTGGTCACGCTGTTGGTTTAAGTCAAATGTAGAAATTAAAATTCTTCAGAAAGAACATTTTTTATTTGTTGTTATTAAAACATAGCTTATGTAAAAATACAATTTCATATTTTACATTTTAAATTTAAATATATAGATTAGAATAAACACTTCTCAAATAAAAGCAAAAAAATGTTGCAGCAAAATCTCGAAACTGAAGTCTGGTGCTGAAATATCAGGATACAGCTGTGTGTCAGATGCCCTCCCATCCTCCTGTATCCCTGTGTGTCAGATGCCCTCCCGTCCTCCCTGTAGTGTCAGAGATGGAGCAGGTCAAATGTCTCTTGTGAATCTGCAGATGTTGTGGTGTGTCAGATGCCCTCCCAGATGCTGTGGCTGGAGAAATATAGAAATGATCATGGAAAAAAAAAAGGAAATTTCTGATGAAAAACCAGAGAATGAGACAAACTCCTGCGCGTTTTTGCATTTTGTTTCTGTCGGATAAATAGTGTGTTTCCTTTTGTTGGTTAACGCTCAGACCTTTTCTTTTCATTCTGCTTCTTGTATCAGTTTAGCCACATATTTTTAGATTTTGTTTATTTTTTTATTTGAAATATTTGATCTTTCTTTAATTTTTCCTCCCAGAGTTAAAAGGTGTACGTCATTATTGAATCAATATCACAATTTGAGTTGGTGCAGTGATCAGATCAGAGGCTGCAGTAGATGTTAGAATGTCGTGTTTTTATAGAAAAGTTTGGTTGTATGTGTAGTTTAGACCTCTCTTTCATTGCCCTCCTGTTGTCTTGTTCTGTGTAAAAGCTGTTAACCTTGTAGTATGAGATCTCTACAAACATATGCCCTTGTTGTGTGCCTGTGTGTCAGATGCCCTTCCTGACAATTGTCAGAAAAAACGCAATTAGGCGTTGGTTTCGAAGGGTGGATCCCGTGTGTTTGGCGTGTTTTAGGCGTGTGGTTATTTTAAGTTCTGATGGTGGAATGTGGAAGTGTGGATGAGCCAAAATCTGATGCAATTCACCTGTCACGGTTTCACATGGGTTAAACGTGTCCAGGCCCGGGAGCAGGTCTGAGTCACGATCCTGGTCAAGACTACTACAACTCAATATACAGAAGTGACGTGACAATACTAACATTTCGAAGTCAATTTTGATATTAGGGAGTGGATTTGATACTCAGTCCTGATTGTGATCCCACGATGATGATAAAAACCAGTCTTTCTTTAGACCAGGTGTGTCAAACTCATTTTGGTCCAAGGGCCGTATCCAACCTACTTTGATCTCAAAGGGGCCGGGTTAGAAAACTCATAGCATATAAACCCCAAAAATAACAATAAATTCAAATATTTGTGCAGAGAAACACAAATCTATTACAGAAATCTTTTTTAATTGATGACCTCTTTCTTTTACAAAATATTATAATATTATGAACAACCTGAAACTTTAAGAAAAATACAATTTCAACACAATGTTTTAACATGAACTTGTATGCAAACAGGAATAAGTACATTTTTCTTGGAAAATCCTGCACTCGGCTCCATTTTTCTCATTTTGGACATTTTGTTGATGAGGGTGTCATGGTCAACAGTCAAAACGATCGTCCTTTAAGAGCGTTTGGAAAGAGACAAGTCTTCATTTGTGCTGCTCTGGTGGGAGGGGCCACGTACAGAGACGCTGGAGACGCTGCTGTGCTAAACACAGAAAATTAACAACATTTTAATAGAAAATATAATTATAATATTTTAGTAGAAAGTCAGCTGAGGGCCAGATTAAAGGTCTTGGAGGGCCGGATCTGGCCCCAGGGCCATATGTTTGACACCTGTGCTTTAGACCCTGGGATTTTCCACATTAAATATTAGAACTTTCTTTTCTATTCCCATGTCACCTTGTATGTGTGTGATCCCTCAGTGGTCCAGGTACGTTCCATACTAGATACATACGTACATACTAGTCTGTGTGCTCTTCTACTTATTCTGTTACAGCTCCAGATCATTCTAAAGACTTTCCGGAAAGGTTCAGCTCTGTCCTGTCAGTGGGACGTTTTTAATATCGAGACCTGTGAAAAATGAGTATCTAGTTTCAGTACTAGTTTTAGTATCGATTAGTAGTATCTGATTTTTGTTACAGTCTTACAAACACAATTATTTTTCTTCTTATTGATTGATCATCAAGATTTTCAGTTTGATTTAATCTTTAATTTCTCGAACGCTGCACGTGAATGTTAAAATTTTGAGACTTTTGAGACAATTTGAATATTTAAAGACACTGAATGGATTGTTTTGTCATCGTGTATTGTCGTGGGGTCTTATAGGTGACCACTTTTCTAACAGATCATTTCATTAAAGAGGACGTTTTACACTTCTATAGGGTATTTTCGGTAACATATCACATTTTTACGGGGTTCCCATGGTCATGGAAATCCTGGAATAGTAATGGAAATTAAAAATATATTTTTCCAGGCCTGAAAAAGTAATGGAATTTCTCTTTCACACAACTACAGCATTCTGTTAAGTTCTCATGAGGCTAATCTGATTATTTCTGAACGTCTGCGACAATAAATGATTTTGAATATTAAAAACTATAATCCCAAACCATAAGGTGAGTGGAAAGAGTTAACATTTCATTTTTAGCCCTGAAAGTCTGATCAATTCTACACATGTAGATGCTGTAAAGTCATAAAATTCACTTTAGGTTATGAAAAAGTCTTGGAAAAGTTTTGAAATTTGGCCAGGGAAAAAGAGTGGGAACTCTGTATTTAAATCACCGTGTTCCCTTTGATTGTTTTGAAAATGCTATATTCGCCCAAAATAAAGTATTGACATGTTTAATACATTTCACTTTGGTTTTTGATGCTCTGATTCCCCCCTCCCGTTTTCACTCCCCCTTCAGAGCCTATCACAACACAATCAGCATGCGTCCTGTTCATGAAACTCCTGCACATCACATCAGCTTTGTCAGTCATGTTTTTGTATATTTATGGAGAATTGTCGTGTGGGAGCATGGATGACATAGGCTTGTGGGTGGAGCCTTGTACAGGATTGTACTGCTAACCGTTAGGAGAGTTTGAATTGGTCCCAGGAGAGATTGCTAGATTACTCAGAATTGCGTGATATCTAAAACCTCTTCAGGCATGTTTTGGATGAAGGAACAGTGTAACATGGTAGAGAGCTTTTGCAGAATACCTCCTCTTTAAGATCGAGCGTGTCGGGTGAGTTTGGGGTGACTGGACTCTACGGCAGCAGGATGAATCACAACTGAAATGCAATTTGAATGAACACAGTTAGAAAATCACACTGTTTTGGAAGTTCCATAATTTTCTCTGTAAACAACAAAATCTCCTGTTTTATTCTGCATAAAACACTGCTAACCCTGTAGTGGTTTAGACCTGGTTTAGACCTGCTTTAGACCTGCTTTAGACCTGGTTCAGGCCCTAGTTCAGTCCCTGGTCCAGTCCTGGTAAAGTCCACATCCGGATTATGACTGATCCTCTGTGCTCGGATTGTTTGGATTTTGAGGAGCCAAAGTCCAGATGTGTCGAGACGGAGGTGCAGACAAGGAGTGAAAACAGGACTGAACCAGGACTGAACTAGGACTGAA